GGGAATAGGGACTTACATATATATATATTTTTTTCACGGACACTTATTATAAATTTAGTGTTTATTTATTTGTGTTATTTTAATTTTAGATTTTGCGCTGTTTTTGTGTTGTTTATTATTGGTATTACTGGTGCACAGCTGCATAATCATATAGTTTCTTTTTTTTTTTGCAGCTGGGATATATACTTTTGGTTTAATCCTTCCTTAGATGTTTGAAGAATTTCCTGTGTTTAGGGGGAGACTCCACGGCTTCTTCCAACTTCAAGGCCTCTTTGACTGCTTTGACTAAGGGTGAGACCAAAGTGAAATGGAAGCCCACACACAGCTCCTCACTCTCCACCTCACTATCTGAGGCTCCGGCTGACAGTTGACTAGGTTGTGAAGGCTCCAATCCCTCTTGGGGATCTTTGGGAGGGGAGCACACCCCAACCAATGGGTGAGACTAGTTTCAATTTCTTTCAGGGACTCTTGAACGACCTGTCTGACCAAAGCCTCTACCTGTTAGTTGGCACATTCTCTCCCACTGGTCACCCATGCAAAACAGGAGTCACATAATGACCTGTCATCAGGAACCTGAGAATCGCACCCCCAGCAAGTTTTCCTATTGGACCTTCCGGAGTGCCCCTTAACATGATGCCTGGAGGAGAAACAAGAGCTTCTCCTCTGACGCCTGGAGCTGGAAGATGACCTGTGGTGTCCAGGGCTGAAACCTGGATGCACTTCCATCATCATGTACTGTATAGTGGCGATCAGATCTAGAAGGCCTGAGAGAGAGAGAGAGAAAAAAAGGCACAGAACAGTGGATAGTAAAAAGCCACAGAAAAGCACCAGTAGGGTATCAAGGGGCTAAAGCCATCCTTCTGTAACTACTGCGCAGGGGCTGGCCACAAGGAGGCGATGACACATCCACGCCGGGGCAGCTGCGAGGACAACCAAGCTTTAAAAAAAACCAAGCTTTAAAAAAAACATGACATGCAGATTCCCAGCAGACCACCAGGGGGGAGCAGTAGGGAGCAGGTATTGACCTTCACAGTGGACCACAACGCTTGTGGAAGCTGCCGCATTTAGCCCACAGAATTTCCCAAAGAAAACAGCTTTGACAGCTGTTTAAATTTGCTGCCAAAGCTATGACATCACTGCAGCCGTAATGCGCATGTGCCAGACCCCAGGACACATGCATGAGCACCGCCATCTTGCCATACTGTGCACGATCGAAGCCAAGCCTCATTCTGGCATTTTTATGTTCCTGTGTCAGCAGTGGGGTCCTCCTGGGTCTCCTTCCATAGCATCCCTTGTCATTCAGATTGGAACGTATAGTGTAGGCTGACAAAGTTATACCTTATGCCTGAAGATCAGTTTGAGTGTGTCTGAAAGTTGATCGAGGTTCTTTATCCATCATTTCGAATGAACCTTTGTTGCAATCTTTGATCAAGTTTTTCTCTTTCATCCACATCCACGTTTGACCATAGAATTGTTTTTTTTCTTTTACAACTAGCTTGACTTATTTAAAGCACCAAAACTTTGATTTATTTCAGTTTAAAAAGATTTGTTTTAAGGTCATTTAGCAGTTACACATGAAGTTTAATCAAGCATCGAAATGCTTCTTTGACCAGCGCATAGAAATTGACCAATTGCTAATCGCTGTCCCTGTTCTCTCAGGTCAATGAAAAACCAGCCTGCTGCTGGCCAATTTCAAATTGAATTATGATGATGACAGATGATACAGTAGTGTAAAAACTGTCTAGTGGCAGGATAATTTTAGTGAGTAATATTTGGTCAAAGTATACATATAGTTACATAGTTAGTCTGGCTGAAAAAAAAAGACAAAAGTCCATCCAGTTCAACCATTAAAAAAAAAAAAATTTATAATCCTATACCCACAGTTGATCCAGAGGAAGGCAAAAAAAAACAGCAAAGCATGATCCAATTTTCTCCTGCAGGGAAAAAAAAATTCCTTCCTGATCTCCTGAGAGGCAATCAGATATTCGCTGGATCAACTTTACCTATAAATGTTAGTATCCAGTTTTATTCTGTGTATCTAGGAAAGAATCCAGGCCTTCTTTAAGGTAATCTACTGAGCTGGCCAGAACCAATTCTTGAGGGAGTCTATTCCACATTTTCACAGCTCCCACTGTGAAGAAACCTTTCTGTATTTGCAGATTATATCTCTTTTCCTCCAGAGATAAAGAGTGCCCCCTTGTCATCTGTGATGACCTCAGGGTGAATAACTCTACACCGAGTTCACTATATGAACCACTAATGTATTTATACATGTTGATCATATCCCCCCTAATCTCCTCTTCTCAAGACACTATACTAAAGACACAGGGCACACAAGCAGGTGTTTCATACCATAAATCCCCAAAATACCACCATCCAGAAACAAGAAACTTTGTTTTTAAAGGAAAGCCTTGCAGAAAAAAAACATTTGGCTATAAGAAGTCAGGAAAGGGGTAATTGTCTAAAGACCTAGGAATCAGAAGTAAAGTACAATCCTTATTAGCCTGCTGGGAATGGTTCAAATGGGGCTGGTGCATTATGGTTGAAAAGAAAATTGCACAAAAAATCCTTATTATTGCGAATTTCAAACATGCAGATGTTTTTGTAAATCCGTGGACACAGATTTCATAGATCATTCCTAAGAAAGATGTGTGACACCCTTTTTCTGGTGACATCTTCAACAAAAGGATGGTGCACCTGGATGTCAGATACAGGAAATGTGATATCACCAATACATCATTTTCTCTGTAATGTTTTGCCACGATTTGTTCTTACTATATTCTATATTTTCATGGTAACCCAACTTCTCTTTCTTAATATAATTTGTTATAACATGATTTCATGTTTGGGTAACAAGTTCCCCAGAACTGGAATAAACTGCAGATAATTATGACAGTAATCAGCATGTCCAAAGAGAGTAACTCAGTAGGAGCATAGTTCTATTGCAAAATAATAAAAAATATCTAATTTTTAAATATATAATGAAAGAGGTAAAGGTGCATATTAAATGCAATTAATACAACTCTGCATGTACTTTATAAAAGCACTGACAAAAGGGATGGGAGAGCTGACTTATATAGGGAGAATACATTTTAAAAGCTCCATTATTGGCCATATTCTGCATCCTGACCACAGTTCACAATTTTTTGCTCTTGTAAGTGAAAAAAAACCCCAAAACATAATTTCAACTTTAGAGGAAACTGAGAAATGCAAAATTTGCTGCAAACCCTATCCAGCAGCAAATTCGAACCCCATCCCCATTCCATACCCAAAACATGTAAATAAAGATGTATGGCAAATGTCATACTCCTATTCTGCAGTATAAAGCATGTTACTTAATATATTAAATATAGTATTAAAATATTACATATTAAACAGATTTAAAAATATTGTTTTCTTTTTTCTGTTTTTATTTTCTGTTTATTCTGCTGTAATCTATCCTAAAAAATCGTTTTTAGTTAGTTTTTTTTTTTTCAGAAGAAAAACATGCTCAACTTTATATCAGCATTGATGTAAAGTAAATTTGTAAATTCTGTATAAAATAGTATTCTATTTTGTATGCTTTGCCTAGGTATTGTACACTGCACTAATAATGTTTCCATTACGTTTGCATTCCTTCAAGTCCTCATTAAAAATCAGCCTGCCTATGTAACGTCCCTCCTTACTATAAAAGTACAATTGTAATATTAATGTGATACCTACGTAATCATGTGTCAAACACGCCTAATGAACAGAACGGTGATTTGGAAAGATGCTGAGTGTATCTTTTTGTGTCTGTTCCCTACTGCAGCAGTTGTTAATTTGGAGCCACTAATCAATATGAGGATAGGAGTTGCCTATGTATAAAATTTTCAGTATTAATGTCCAGAACAGGTGACAAAAGACAATCAGAACAGATTGGTTAGGAGTTAACAAGCTGTGGGGTTTTTTTGTTGTTGTGCAGGCAAATACTAAGATCAAGATTCATCAATTTGTCAGCGCTGTATCACATGGAGTTTACATGACGTAAGAAGTTACTTTGGCCAGGGTTTCATTAGTCATGCCAGCTTCATGCTGCTATGGCAGTCTGTTGCTTTTTCTCTTTCTTCTTCCAAAACTGCACAGTGAAGACAATTTTACACCTTTTCCTGATTCCCCACTAGATGGAGTAATGTCTTGGAATATGTGTAAGGTGTGGCTTTTAAAATCAAGCTTAAAAGGCAATAGTCATAGAACTGATTTAACCAGGCATAATAAACTATATATACAATTATACAATTCAGATGTTTTATATTACCATATTAAATGAAGGTTGAAATTATAATAATTTCCTGACAGGGATACAGGGAAATGTATTTGTATCATGAAGGTTTTATTATTTTATTTAAAACATGGATCTAAGGTTAAAACAAAACAACTGTTAAGAGGAACTTTTTGGTTGGTTTAACCTCCTCCCGCCCGCCATATAAGGTAATGACGAGCGCAAGGCCGTTCTCTCGTTCTGGGAGGACGCCATATGACGTCCTCCCATTCTAACCACGCATGCGTGGCTCCAGCGATCGACAGTGTGCTGTGTCCCTCGGACACAGCGGATCACCGATCAACGGAAAGAGCCGAAGATTTTTGCTCAGTCATGTGATCAGCTGTGTCCAATCACAGCTGATCTCATGTAAATAGGGAAATGCCGGTTATCAGCATTTCTCTCCTCACAAGCTGTCACGCTGACAGCTCAAGAGGACAGGAGAGCCTGTAATTGGCATTCCTCAGAGGGGACATGTGCACTGATCATCAGGGCACTAATGATCAGTGTGCCCTGATGATCAGTGTAGCCCCAGCAGTGCCACCTGTCAGTGTCCATCAATGCCAGCTGTCAGTGCTCTCCAGTGCCACTTGCCAGTGCCCATCAGTGCCTCATCAATGTCACATATCAGTGCCTACCAGTGCACATCAATGCCACATATCAGTGCTCATCTGAGCTGCCTTTCAGTATCACCTATCAGTGCCAGTCAGTGCCACCTATCAGTGCTGCCAATCAGTGCCACCTATCAGTGCCAGCCAGTGCTGCCTATCAGTGCCAGTCAGTGCTGACTATCAGTGCCGCCTATCAGTGCCCATCAGTGCCCATCAGTGCTGCTTATCAGTGCCACCTAACAGTGCCAGTCAGTGCCACCTAACAGTGCCAGTCAGTGCCGCCTATCAGTGCCAGTCAGTACCGCTTATCAGTGCCACCTATCAGTGCCGCCTATCAGTGCCATATATAAGTGCTGCCTTTCAATGCCCATAAGTGATGCCTGTCAATGCCCATCAGTGCCACCTACCAGTGCCTCCTCATCAGTGCCCATCAGTGCCACCTATCAGTGCCCATCACTGCAGCCTCATTAGCGCATATCAGTGAAGTAGAAAAATCACATATTTACAAAAACTAAGAAAAAAAAATATTTTTTTTTTCAAAATTTTCAGTTGTTTTTGGTTTGTTTAGCAAGAAATAAAAAACCCAGAGGTGAGTAAATACCACCAAAAGAAAGCTCTATCTGTCTCAAAAAAATGATAAAAATGTCATATGGGTACAGTGTTGCATGACCGCGCAATTGTCATTCAAAGTACGACAGCGCTGAAAGCTGAAAATTGGCCTGGGCAGGAAGGGGATATAAGTGCCCAGTAGGCTAGTGATTAATCCCAGCATCTGTAAATGAGGAGAGTAAATTTGGGTGCTGAGGTAAACCTTGCTTATATAAGGGAGAATTACATCATCGCTGGCTTCCCAGTGACCAAAAAAAGATGACAATAAGATGACATTGTCTTGTTGGAAAATCGATGGAGAGCATGGAACTATCAGCTCCGGAGGAGGGCAAACTAAAAAGTAAGTCTGCCAAAATATTCATACTTGCACCTTTTGGCAAGTTCTCCTGCCTCCCACCAACACAATATAAGTACAGTATACAATAATATGCTACAAAGGACTGTTTACATCTAAAGGCAATGCCTAACATTAGAAGGCATGTGTTCTAAGGCATAAAAACAAATGTATTTAGAATCATAACAATGGTATAAACCCACATGCTAACTAAAGGGTGAGTTTATTTTCCTATTAGAAATGAGGTATAGGTGGTCATTACATGCGTTTCTAAAATGGACACTTTGTTTTGCCCACATAGAAGGCATTGCACTGGCAAACCTTCAAATAGAGTACCCCCGCCATTTGGCAGTCAATCTGATTCTGGGGGAGCCATTTTTGATTGTTAGATAGTCCAATATATCTGCTCTCCTGAACCTAAGGGAAGTAGAGGTAAGTTCCACAAGCAAACATTCCCTCCCATTATTCCGATTTATTTTCATCTATTTATGTATGAAAGTAATTTCTGGTGTAAGATCTATAAAGCTCCCGGCTAAAGGATCTCCGGTGAGGCGATGCCAGTGATTTTGTAAGCAATGTCTTGGGGGCAGTAGGCACTCTATAATATTTGGGCTTTTCCATATTTTGCATTAGTACTTTGGATCAGATGAACATCTTCAGACACCATTGAGGTTATGTTTGTTTTATAATATTATTATACCGTATTAGGACAAACTATACAAAGAACATTTAGCAACCATTGATATATTTTTCATGTAAGTTTTGATCTATAGGTGCTTTTTATGTAGATATTCCATCATAAGATTGCAATATATTGGCCCAGTCTTCCCCCTGTCCTCATTGTGGCATTTAGAATGAATTTATAGTCTGGGACTTCACGTGGTTCCCATGTCCCGAAGTTTATTTAGATACAGTATTTTTGTGGTAACTTTATTTATTTTAGAATATCAAGGTAAATTTTTATGATCATGATCAGTTATTAGTATGAACATAATGGACATAAATTATTTATTGGTTGTCCCATACAGCCAATACATAACACACTTGATGTTTAACAAATGGTCCAATTGGCTTGATTAGATATTTTATTTTGGTGTTTCTATTTTTCTAGAATATCCTCTCTCCTGAAGAAGCAATTAAGTGAAATGTGTTGAGCCAAGGAATCGGTCAAGAGCATGGGCCTACTTATTCTTCTGCTTTTGTACTATTAGTTTTTGGGGGCACTGAAACATTTGTTGGTTACCCAGGGGGAACTTTGATATATTATAAGGCTCTGGAAAGGTTCAATGGGAATAATTTGTATACTGTGCATTTTTTTGTAGACTCTTTTGTCTTGATTTTAATGATGTGGAGGCTAATATGGTCTTTTTAAAATTGAAAATTGGCTATTGGCTTTAACAGCCAAATGAAAATGAAAGATTGAATTGTTTATAAACAAATATGTGCATAATGACATTTCTTTGAGAGATCATCTATCTTAAAAGTCCCACAATCAGTTCTTTTGTCCTTGTTTTTGAGGCAGTATTGGTATTGTGGCAATATGATATTGATGTGGTGGATTCGCTATACCTTTGTCACTACAATATTTTTCTGTCTTTGCAATTTTCTTTTCTTTTTTTGTAATAAAACATGTATGTTAAATAGTTAGCTGCGTAAGAGTCAGATACTTTTTTATAAATAAGTATTTGAACTTTTGTAGAAGTCCTATGAAAGTAGATATTTATACAGTAGTAGTGTCTTAAAGTTTTCTACTAAAGACTCTGGATTTTTACCTGTTTTTGATTAGTTTTGAAAGGTGCAGGGCTTTAGTTGTTCAAGTTGTGGAAAGAGATGACCAGAAGACAGGCAGCACCCATTATGTTAAAGGAGATTTTTCTCGTAAGCTTATTTTAGATTGTCAAATATAAAAATTTAACTATTGTTTGTATTGCTATTAAAGTGCTGATGTTATAAAATGAAAGTGAATGCTATGACTCCAGAACTTCTTTAACATTTCTAGATGTTCCCTAAAAATAGAAGTGCATCACTTTTGTTTAGGTCTACTTTAAATAGACCTAGCAGACTTTTTAATATGCAACAAATAGATAGTGTCACTTTTAATTTCAGCACTAGTTCAAAAAATAAAGCAGAACATATGATTGCTGACCATGTTGAGCACTGACATTTCTGAATTGCACTAGGTTTTGATATTGTAAATTACCATCTCTATTTTATAATGTCATATAAAGCTAGATATCTAATATTTGCAATGTCTGAGAGACACTCTGGAAAGTTCTATTCTCCTAGATCAGTATAATAAAAATAAAAGAGAAAAAAATCTACAAATATAGTGCACGGCGTAATATATTTAGGAATTACTTTCATAAAATAATTCATTTAGTTAATATCACTTGCTAGCTGGTAATCCTTTCCTTTAAACTTACATGCCTGAAAGCCAATGCATGAGTTTAAGTCAACCTGACATGTGAAGGCTTTGAAAATGGAGGACCTTTTAGAAGACAGCAGTGAACAGGAATGTGAATCTTATTTGAATAAACATTAGCAATAGCTATTGAAAAGAATGTGCCTAAGTCCTAATAACTGGCCCCATATACATAATTTTTACACACCAAAAAGTAATACTACATTAAAAACTTAAGAGACAAATTAGTAGGCCTACTTACCTTGGTATTGTATATTAGAAGTTACAAATCATCCCTGTAAACTATAAAATATATTGTTATACAGTAACACTGTCTTTATTGAATGCTTTATTGTTTTAAATCAATCAAAACATGGGGAGAAAGTACGCTCCTACTGCCTAATACATATTTAATTATCAGGTTCACTTATTTTGTATTTTTTCAGAGATATATTTTAATTAATATATTACAGTGATAGGACTGTCAGAATTGTTGCTTAGGAGTAATTGCTAAGTGACAGTTTCCTTAGAAGTAGCAGTCTGCCTTTGTGTACCCAGACTCTCAGAACTTTTATCCATATCTGGAAACAGTGCAACTCCCTAAAGTTCCACTATTGCTGAACTTGGTGTGGGGCATGGAAATGAAGTGAAAAAAATGACCCTTGGACTAGCCCTATCACTTGCTCCCCCCCACAAACCCAAAATGTGTGCCAAAAAAAACTAGTATTTGCCTTTTAATTTAACATTAGCATTGAGACAGAATATGAAGGAAAAACATATTTTTAGAGTTTACACAAGAGCGAGAGATAAGGTCAAATTTAATGAGGACCAATATGCAGATGGATTTCTCTTCATTTTAGGGAGATTTCGTAAAATGTCCTGTTGCGTCTCAGGAGTTCCGATACAGGATGTGAAGGAATTTCACCCTAGCAGCACAGAGACAGCAAAAAAAAAAAAAAAAGAGATTTTGACCTTTTATATGTTTTCTACCTGAAACTAAAAAAGAAAAATTGCCAATTCATATGTTTTAAAACTAGAAGATTCTATATAAAGCAACATGGCTACTGTGTTTTTATTTACTGGATCAAATAATACTGTATAGATATAGTTATTTTTAACTATTAGGCTGCCAATATACATAATAATACATATCATCAAAAAGCAATGCCTTTCTTATTTTGGTAATTACAACCTAATATATCCCTTCTTATGGCAATTTATCCAATGCATCCCTTATTTTGGTAAGTACAACCTAATATATCCCTTCTTATGGCAATTTATCCAATTCATCCATTATTTTGGTAATTACAACCTAATATATCCCTTTTTATGGCAATTTATCCAATGCATCCCTTATTTTGGCACAAATAAAACATTATATTGCATTTGGTATAAGATGAGACTATTTGACATCCAAGTTTTACATTTACAAGACCCTTTCATGGCCTTGAATCTTACCGACAAATCCATTTGTGAATGGAATCCTCCTACAGATGCACAATAACTGATTAGAAAATGCATAATGTTAAATGACATTAATGTCTCACAAATTTCCAAAATAAGCCATATTTTACATATTAACTATTAGACAAACATTCAAAATGAGTAAACGTATAGGTTTGGTAGCATTAACTCATACTTTTAGTGAAAATAATATCGCATTGCAAAGGTATTAAAGATCGGGCAAGTTTTGTTAATGAAAGCACTTAAAGGCGAATTTGATGAACGTTTATGAACTGATATAAGAAAATACGGCTTATCATGCCTGGCTACCTTATGAATCCACAAAAGAATCCAACTGGTTTTCTTCTCTGAATTTAATATCACTATCACTGAGTGCAGTGCACTGCATATCTGCATTAGTAGCTCTTGCTTTATGAGTCTATAAATCTACATTTAAAAATATATTTTTTAATTTATATTTAATAACAGTCACTACCTAAATTAATCTGACCTGGTCTGTTCTGGTACTAGGTTAGCCTTCAATCAATCCCCGTGAAGCCCCCTGGATCTATTTGTCCAATTGACATATGCCCCAATTGAAGAAAAGCCTTGCTCCTTCCAGATACTAAGCTCCACCCTCATCATCTGAATGTCAGATTATAGAACATTCATCGGCAGTAGAGGCTCTGGCATTATATGTTAAATGACAGCTATTTACAGCCCATTTACAG